GCTGGCATGTGGTGCTGGGGGATTGAACCGCGGTCCCTGATGCTTTGCCAAGCTTGTTCTAAGTAGGTGCCTTAGACCACTGAGCCATCTCTCCAGCCCGACAATGCATTTAAATGAGATGTCAAGTGCACAGGCTATGCAGGATCCCAAGGGTGGGTCAAGAAGCTGGATCAGGGGCCAGGGAGATGGCTCAGCGGAATAAGCGCTTCCCTGACAAGTACAAGGGCCTGAGTTCAAACCCTGGTTCCGCAAAAAATAAAATAAAATAAACTATTAGTGGCTCAAGGAAGATTGAACTCGGTCAAGAAGGAAAAGGAGTTTCAGTATTTGAGACCTGTCTTTACCACAAGAAGGAAAGAGCCAAGAGCCTTAAATAGTCTGGGCCTGTCCTTTGCTGCCCTCCCTTGTGTAATACATTTGTTTCTTGTCACATGTGTGACTTAACGTCTACTACTGAAAAGAAAGCTGTTGCTCTTATCAAGCCTTCTGGTGACAATAACTTTATAAAATTGATATTAACGTCAGCATGTTTCCTCTAGTCCCTCTGGCTGTACATTCTGGGGCAAGAAGCCGTGGAGCCGGAAGAAGAAAATTCTTTGGCAGCTGGGCACATTGATTGGTGCTCCTGTGGGGATTTCTCTCATTGCTGGCATTGCCATTCCTGCCATGGTCATTGGCATTCCTGTTTACGTTGGAAGGAAGGTAAGACATGCTGAGTTCATTGCCTGTACCATCATCAGGTTTTTTGGCAAAGATTTGAGAAAAATGAGAAAAAGCTTATATTTATTCCAGAGCTGTCTGAAAACCAGCTGGTTCTTAGCTGAAAATAACTTTATTAAATGGATTTTTAAAAATGAGATTTGAAAGTTCTTATCTATCCTGGGCCTGGCTTGTCTCATTGACTGAAAAGTGTGAAGTGCTTCTTTCATTTCCCTGAATTATTTTGCCTCTTTGGATTAACTTATTCTGTAGAGGTTGTGTATTCCTGGTCTGAGTTAGGTTAACATTTGAGAAAGACAACTCTTCGGGGTAGAGGGTATGTTTTTAAAATAAGTAGTTTATAAGTTTGTATTCACTTGTCCTAACCTGCTGCCCTGGAATTTTTTTATTCTTAGATTCACAGCAGATATGAGGGGAGGAAAACCTCCAAACACAAGAGGAATTTGGCCATCACGGGAGGAGTGACTTTGTCGGTCATCGCGTCCCCGGTGATTGCTGCTGTTAGCGTTGGTAAGCTGGGAAGGCCCATGACTCCTGTCTAGCTTTGCAGCCATACCAGTTTAGCCAGCTGGCTAGTCCTACATTGTATGCCAGACTCACCTTAATAGTTAACCTTACTTGATACTGTTCTGATTATTTTTTGGCAAAAGTAGTTATTAAGAGTTTATCTTGGGGCTGGTGAGATGGCTCAGTGGTCTAAAGCACCTATTTGAACAAGCTTAGCAAAGCAAAGGGACCACGGTTCAATCCCCCAGCACCACATGCCAGCCAGCCGCGCCCTCTGGTGGCCTGAGCTGCCCCCCCCAAATAAATAAAAATTAAAAAAAAGAGTTTATCTTAAAAAAAAAAGTTTGTGGGGCCGGGGAGATGGCTCAGTAGAATAAGTGCTTTCCTGGCAAGCTCAAGGACCTGAGTTCAAACCCCGGTTCCACCAAAAAAAAAAAATTGTCTTGTGTTTAGTGCCTAGAACTCAGTCTGGCACACAGAAAAGGTTAAATTAAAGAAAATTGCCACCAGCCCTAGTTTTTCATTCCTCTGCCTTCTTCATTTTTTTTGGAACCAGGGATTGAACTCAGGCCCTTGTGCTTGCTAGGCAAGGGCTTATTCCACTGAGCCATCTCCCCAGCCGTGCCTTATCTTCTTGCTATTGGGCTTACAAAATCAAAGACAGTATTTTGGGAAAAGAAGAAGAAAAAAATACTGGGGGCCAGGGCTCAGTAGAACAAGCGCTTCCCTGGCAAGCATGGGGGCCTGAGTTCAATCCCTGGTTCTGGGGGAAAAAAAAAAAAAAAAAAGACAGTATTTTGGGAGGCACAAGAGTTTGTTTTGATAGAATAATATATAATATTTCATGCGTTTCATCATGTGCCAGGGTGGCAGGGGAGATAGCTCAGTAGAATTAAGTGCTTGCCTGGCAAGTGCAAGGGCCTGAGTTCAATTCCTGATTCCACCAAAAACAAAACAAAAAAAACCCCATAAACATCATGTGCCAAGAATGATTCTAATGTATTTGGTTTTTGCCTTGCTGAGACAGGGTTTCATTATGCAGTTCAGGCTGGCATTGAACTTACTTTGTAGCCCAGGCTCATCTTTAACTCACAGTGATCCTCCTGCCTCAGCCTCAGCCTCCCCACTGCTGGGATTACAGGCATGTGCCACCAGGCCTGGCTGATTCTAATGTTTTGCATATGTTAATTCATTTAATCTTTACAGTCCTATCAGAACAGCATGCTTGTCAACAGAAAGATACAGTAACTTTTCCCTGGTCATTTTACTGGGACATGAATCGACACTCTGACTTAGACCTTATGCTCCTAACAGCTAGACCATTCTGCCTCACATGGTGCACTATTTTTATGTTGTTTGTTTGCAATGGCATTTCTGTGTAGTTCAAGCTGGTCTTTAACTCATAGTGCTTCTCCTGCCTCAGCCCATTGAGTGCTCGAATGGTAGCCATGTACCTCCATACCTGGCCATAATGTGATTTTGGAATTAACAGTCTGAAGAGGTCCTAAACTCCAGAAGTCACTTACTAAATTTTTTTTTCTTTTTCTTTTTTTTTTTTTTTTTTTTGGTGGTGGAACTGATTGAACTCAGGCCCTTGAGTTTGCCAGGCAAGTGCTTACTCTACTGAGCTATCTTCCCGGCCCCTCACTTATTAAATATTGGATTCTTCTTTGGTTCTTGCTTTAGCACTTCAGTGAATATAACAGAGGAAGTGAAAACAAATACATACTTCATTGGGCACTGTGTATGTTCTCATCAGCTCTAGAATAGGTCCATGGTCAAGCATCCAGTGAGTTGGAGCTAAAATTCTGGGCCAGAGCTTTCTGGTTGCAAGCCTGGCTGCCATTCTGTGACATCAGGCAGCCTATTTGGGCTGCCCACTCTAACTTACTTGGCCCTTGTAAAAGTAGTTTCTCTTTGCCCAGCCTCAGAGGGAGGATTTAGGGCAGCTGCAGCCTGATGGCCTGCTGACACGCTTCCATCTCTTCCCTCAGGAATCGGCGTCCCCATTATGCTGGCGTATGTCTATGGGGTTGTGCCCATTTCTCTCTGTCGGGGAGGTGGCTGTGGAGTCAGCACAGCTAATGGGAAGGGGGTGAAAATTGAGTTTGATGAAGATGATGGTCCCGTCACAGGTAAGAGGGTTTTTCTTTTCATTGGAATTTAAGGAACACATGGTAAAAATTAATAAAATCCAGCTCATTTTATAGAGAGATTGTCACTGAATTATTTTGGATAATGAGCTTTATAGGGAGTATAGTATTTTTAGCTTTTCATTTCTTTGTTCCAGAATTATTAGGTTAATTCCTCTGGTACTTGTCTCTGTACGGCAGGTACAAACTAGTAGGATTTCAAGTAACTCCAAGTATGCTGGTGGCAGTAGTGATTATAATAGAGCCTCATATCTGCACAGTACTTTATAATTTTCAGAGGACTTTACACAGTTATTATCTCACTTTTTGCAACAGCTCTCTGAAGAGGGGAGGGCAAGGGCTATTATTATCCCCATTTAAACAAGAACTTCTTTAAGCTTTTATTTTAGTAGCTATTAAGAGCTTCTGCAGAGCAGGGCCTAGAATAAGTCTTGACCTCTACTTGAATGTTGTTTCCTCTTTGCCATCATAGCTAACCTGGACACAGAGTCCCCCAAAAGTTTTCTAGGCCTCCTCCTAGGATCCACTGTCACTAAACATATTTTAATATCTCTAGCTTGATTAAAGGCAGCTCGAGTAGTTAAAACAATTACATTGTAATCAGAATTTTAACTTTGTGTGCCTGTGACTTTGGTCTAGTCATTTAATTTTAAATTCTGATTTCTTTGTCTAAAAGTGAGGCGATTTCTGCCTAGTTAGTGGCAGAATTAAATATAAGCACGTTAAAGCATCCTGTGTTTGATGGTTGCATATAATAGTAAATGTTCCTTGAGTGAATGTCTTAGTGCTTTTCTACATGAAAATCCTGTACTTTGAAGAGTTACTGCACAAATATCCCTACCAGACTGTCTTGTTGCTTAGCTGTCTCAAACGACGTGTTTGCTTCCACCCACAGTGGCAGATGCTTGGCGAGCCCTCAAGAATCCCAGCATCGGGGAAAGCAGCATCGAAGGCCTGACTAGTGTGCTGAGCACCAGTGGAAGCCCTACAGATGGACTCAGTGTTGTGCAAGGCCCTTACAGTGAAACAGCCAGCTTTGCAGCCCTCTCAGGGGGCACACTGAGTGGTGGCATTCTCTCCAGTGGCAAGGGAAAGTATAGCAGGTAGGCAGAAAAGTAATTTCTAACACAAAATACGTGGAATTGTAAGTGATAACTAAGCCATCTCTCTATCCAGTCTATTTCCTACATCATCTCTGATTTAATGGTCAAGGGTGTTTTCTTCTACTTTGAGCAAAGTTTAGAGTTCTTTCCACTGTGCCATAGCTGCTCCATGTCTTGACTAGATCCTGCTTCCACTGCCTTAGGCTGCCTACTCCACAAAGGGGAAGGACACACTGTTCTTTTTAATCTTATTGAGACAGGGTTTTCTTATATAGACTGGGCTTAAATTCACTTTGTAGCTCAGGCTGGCCTCAAACTTGTAGCAATTCTCCAGCCTCAGCCTCCCATGTGTTGGGGTTATAGGTATGTGTCACCATGTCTGATAAAACAGGCATTTTTATAGACTTCCTGAGACTGGTTCACCTTTGGGTACTCATTGGCTTCCAGTGAGTAGCTTTTGTGCTGTATCTCATCACTGGTGCTATGGTCCTTATATTCTCCTAGTCCCATTTGATAGCTAAAGATCAGTTATCTGAATTTGTGTTGAGTATGTAAAGTTGTATGACTGAAGAGACTGACTTGCCTAATTGGTTAGAAGAGAAGCAGTTGATTCACTGGGAAAAGAGAGCAGCCTGGGAGAAGCACCGGTAGAACAGAGCAGGGTGGAGAGGTTGGGGAAATACTTGCCTTCAAATATCTGAAGGCCTTTGGCCAGGAAAAGGGTTAGGTGTCTCTGATTTATGCCAAAAAGACTAAAATGACTAGACAGAAGTAATTTTGGTACAGTATTGAATATAAGGAAGTGTTTAAAGTGAGACCAGATGGCCATTTGGCTGTTAAGAGGACTCAAAATATGACAAGTGAGCTAGCTCTTACCCTTTTGTGCCTGTCAGTCACCTGGGAGACTCTTAAAAATAGATTTTAGGGCTCATTTCCCAGAATGAATAACTCAAGGTCCTGTAGAGTGGTACCTAGGGATGGTCTGTGATATAAAAAGCTTCCCTGAGGTCTGGGATATAGCTCGGTGGCACAGCAGCTCCCTAGCAAGCCTGAGGTCCTGAGTTCAATTCCCAGTACTAGCCAAGAAAAGCTTCCTGGGGAGTCGGTCCTAGGTGTCATATGCCTCAGTATCTGGGAACCACCTAAGCAGGCAGTGGCTTCTGAAATAATTTTTCCAGCTAAGAAGAAATCTGCAGCTACAGCTCTTGTCCCTGACCTGCGGTACTGCCCTTTTCATGCCCCTCATTTTGCCCCCCTTATCACACCTCAACACATTCTTTTGTTGTTGTTTGCTTTTTTTGTTTGTTTGTTTGTTTGAGACTGTAACTATGTAGTTCAGGCTGGTGTTGAATTTACTATATAGCCAATGTTGGCCTCACACTGTGATCTCCTGCCTCAGCCTCCTGAGTGCTAGTATTATAGGCATGTGCAGCCACCCAGCTTCCTCAGCACATTCTTGAAGGGCACTTGAAGCAGAGTGGGAGAGCACACGCTTAAGTGGCTGGATGGAGCCTGCTGCTGCTGTGTCCCATGACTGGCGTCAGTTGTGAAGGGATCCCACCCCCAAGTGCTGGAGTATTCACTGCTGTGCTTTTTGAAAGCCAGCTCCTCTTAAAAGAGCAGACATAATTGGAGAAAGACTTGCTGAAACTGCAGCTTAGCCAATCCAGCTGTTCCAGTTCTGTGAAAGCCTTTCTTTTATAGGAAGTGAATGAGTCAGATGGGTTTGACTGTGAAACCCATTATGAAGAAATATTTAAGTGTACAACAAAATGGTGTTAGAGCCAACAAAGGAAATAGTTACAGGCCTCAGCTCTGAGATACCATTGGGAAAGTGCTGCTCTAAAGAGGGAGGAGGTTAGCTCTGAGGATAAGTCCTTCAGTCCTGTATCCTGAAGGAAATTTGATTGCTAAGTGTTTCAATTCCTGTTACGTCCAAGGCCTGGAGGATCAAGTGTGAGTAAGGTATAGTCTGTTTTGGTCGAGCTCACAGAGGAGAGAGAGGTACATGAGGTGATGAGCAGGGTGATGGCTATAGGAGCATTTAGGCGGAAGTGACTGATTTGCTGGGCCAAGGGAGAGTGGTATCTCTTGTTGTTGAGGCCTGAATATGTGTTTCAGGCAAGAGAGGAAACACTTGAGAGAAGGCTTTAGGCACTAGCATGTGCAAAGTCATGGAGATATAAAGTATAAATGTAGAGTGACTGATTTTGGACCTACAGAGAGAGGCAGAACTGGAGAGCTTCCTGGCAGACCAAGAAGATCCTCCTAACTGCCTGTTGGCAGGAGGCAGCCAAGAGTTAGAGAAGTGCTCTAGTGATGGGTCTTTGCCCATACTGGTACTGGCTGGAGGCTGTTTGACTTGGACTGAGAGGCTATTGGAAAGGCAGCCCCATGGTAATTATAGAGGCAGGCAATGTCAGGGGCCTGGAGTGAAGCAATAGTAATGGGTTCGACAGGAGGGGACGATTTCAGTAGTTATTTAAGAGAGAAAATGTGTGGGCATGTGTTTGAGCTGTTTGACAGTTGGAGATGATCAGACAGATCATCACAATTCGCAAGAGAATAATGGAAGAGACGTGTGCCAGGAAGCAGACTTTCTCAGAATGCCAGGTCTCGTATTAACTTGAACGTCCCCTCTTTACACAGGTTAGAAGTCCAAGCCGATGTCCAAAAGGAAATATTCCCCAAAGACACAGCCAGTCTTGGTGCAATTAGTGACAACGCAAGCACAAGAGCTATGGCCGGTTCCATAATCAGTTCCTACAACCCACAGGACAGGTATGTGACAGCCAGCTGCCAGGACAGGGTGCATTAGAAGATGTCTGGTGGGCATTAGGTCTCCCAAATCTTGCTACCTCCTTATGTAGTGAGCCATTACATGTCCCATTAGTGAGGTACGTCCTGTGCCCAGTGTATGCACTGAGCAAGTTCTTGGTCCTGAAGTTTGGCATTACTTGGTTCTTGCTAGCATTTGATATTTTGAAGTCCTTTCCTTCCCTTCGTCCCTCCGCTCCATCCTCCACTCTCACCACAACATGCCTGTTTTTTCTCAGTTACTATGTGTCATTACTCTCATAGAACTTGAAGAGCTAGAGTGGTATTCATGTGAGTGGTCTCTGTGAGTCTAGAGTTTCTTCTTTGTTCTTCCTTGATATAGTTCCCATAGCCTTTTATTCTTTCCTTTTGAGTAGTGAGTGTGGTTGGTGGGATTGAGCTACTTCTTAACTGCAGGGATTCTGGATTCTAATTGTGACATAGGAGTAGAAAGGTACAAATCTTTCACTTTCATATTTTGAGTAAGATAGTATGAGGTTCTGGCCCTCAGTTGGCAGTTAGAAGCGCTGTGTGGATGGAGAGCTGCTGAGTGTGTGTGTGCACACATGTACGCCCAGCAACATAAAGCTCTAGTTCACTGTTTACCTGTATTTTTGAACTTCCTAGTTCTAAACCCACAAACTGCTTTTATCAACAGGTATGCATGGTCCATGCACATGACTTAGCACAGTGGATTTTTGTCTCCACAGAGAATGCAACAATATGGAAATCCAAGTGGACATTGAAGCCAAACCAAGCCACTATCAGCTAGTGAGTGGAAGCAGCACAGAGGACTCACTCCATGTCCATGCTCAGATGGCAGAAAATGAAGAAGAAGGTAGTGGCGGAGGTGGGGGTAGCAATGAAGAGGACCCCCCCTGCAAACACCAAAGCTGTGAACAGAAAGACTGCCCACCAAGCAAAGTCTGGGACATCAGCTTGGCCCAGCCCGAGAGCATCCGTAGTGACCTGGAGAGCTCTGACACACAGTCAGACGATGTGCCAGACCTCACCTCAGATGAGTGCGGCTCCCCCCGCTCCCACACCGCAGCCTGCCCTTCCACCCCTAGAACCCAAGGTGCACCGAGCCCAAGTGCCCTCAAGAACCTCTCTGCCCCAGCCGAGGGACAGACTGTCTTGAAGTCAGAAGGTGCAGAAGCCGGAGTATGAGGTGGAATGAATGCTCCTGTTGTGAGAAGCACACTTGTAACTGCATCTTTTGGAACCTATTTTTTTGGGGGGTGGGATGGTTAAATGTTTTATTTCAAAGATTTTCTGGTCAGGTTTTCCCCAGGGAAATTCTGAGAAATTTGCAGTTTCTTACCAGAGATAAGATAAAAAAATTTTACCTTTAGTTTTCCCCATACCTTTTCTAGTTTTAATTTATTGGTTAAACTGATACTGGCATCGGTGAGGTGTGTCACAGAGTGTACATATGTATGTGTGTATATTGTATGTATGCTAACATTAAAGGACACGTTTTAATAAAGATATGTCATAATTGAACTCATCTCATTTTCCTTGGCTTAGTCCAACAGAGCCAAGTGTTGGACTGAAGCAGAATACTTCATTTTTGACAGTCTTTAGACCTGAGTTTTTCTAACCCCAGGAAAGTATTGCACTCAGATAACTGCAGTGGTGTCACTTACAGGTGACGCTCGTGACACCACAGGAAGCAAATCGAGGCTTGATTTGCACTGTGTAGTGGGAGGGAGGAATTATCAGCTGAGTCAGCTGGCTAGGGAAGCGATGAGCAGAAACGAACTTTGTTTGCCTTCTAGAGGCAGCTGTGCAGTTTCCCTGTCCGCACTTTCCTCCCTCTTCTGCACTGTGGTCGCTGTTAGTCCTGTGGTGCAGGGGAGGGCAGGGCTGGCGGTCCCGGGGCACTGAAGAGATGCCTTCGCGAATGTTGTACCCTTACAGGTTGGGAACCGAGTAGTCTCCCTGGAGGGAGAGGTGCTGATTGTGCGTGCTCACCAGCAGTGGCATGGCCTAACTGCTGGCGGCAGGTACATGCCCTCTGCTCCAGAAAGTTGTTCTACCAGTCTAAGGAAGAGAGGGCAATCCAGTGAAGGAAAGAAAGAGATGTGCCACCAGAATCCCTGAATATGGTTGACTTTTATCTGACTTCATAGATAAGGATTAAGCTTGGGATTTTGGCACTACCTAGTATGTCGGTGTCCTTAAGATGAAAGTTCGTGCACATAATAGGAAAATTCGACAAAAGCTCGTGAGACCTAGTGCAAGATTACAAGTCTGGCAGTAACTGATACTTTCGTGACAGTATGCATCAGTTGCTGTTTCATGCCTCCAGTTTCTCCAGCTCTCAAACCACCTTAATGAGCTTCCAGTGCCAAACTGCCACCTTAACCCCGAGCCCAGAGGAAGAAGTGAAACAGCTTTCCCAGAGGACCAGATGGCTTTCTGTTTCCTTTCACAGATGCAGCTGCTCTTTGTCTTCCCGGCCTGTGTTTCGCTACAGCAAGGATGCGGACTCTGCACAGCGGCCTGCACAGAAGATTCTTATCTCTTGGGTACTGCAGTCTGACATAGCAGATTTCCTTGCACCGGGGACAGGAAGTGGTCATTAGAGGACTTTGGGTCTCTGGAACAAAGTGCCCTAGATAGTGTTCCTGTGTGACAGAAGGAACCTGTCGGGAAAAGAAGCAGACAGACAGTCTGGAGACCTCAGATGCAGATTATCCACTCAAGACTTGCGGTTCTCTTGAAGCTTCATCAAGAGAGCATTTAACTTGGATAAAATCAAAGAAACGTGCTGGGAGAGGGCGGGCAGGGCTTACAGCCAAACCTGTATTTCTTATTGGGCTCCACTTAATGCCGTGAGACTTAGGCACCTTACTCTTGCAGTTTGTTTTCACTTCGCCCAGATGGGATAATAAGCCTAATGATGGGGTTAAAAAGAATGAGGTGACGTACTAGAAATGATGCTGGCAAAGGCCCACATTTTTCCTCCTGCTGGAATAAGGAATTGAGGGAGATTCTAGATGTCACCTAAGAAAGCAAGCTCCAAGTACTGGACCCATAGTTAGGAAAAAACATGTATTTGGATCCTTAGCAGTGCTTGTCACCTCCAATGCCTTAGGACCTGGAAAGGGCTCATTAGTGCCACCTGGAGGAGAAAGCGATGCAGGAACTTTAATTGCTGGGAAAGTGGTGAAAGTTTAATTTCTTTTTGGGAGTGGAGTTTATTTTCTTCTTTTTTTTTTTTTTTGCGGAACTGGGGTTTGAACTCAGATCCTTGCGTTTGCCAGTCAAGTGCTTATCCTACTGAGCCATCTCCCCGACCCCGGGGAGTTTTATTTTCATACGGCCTTCATTCTGAAATACCTACTCGTTTCACCTATGGGATACAGCAAGGAGGAAAAAAAATTCCTGTCCCCAGGGAACTTAGGAGCTTTTGGGGAAGACTGCATTGATGAAGCCAGGCCGAGGAAACAAAGAGACTAGCGGAGTGCAGCTTAGGCAAGGTCGGCCTTTTTGATACTGGTATAGTTCATAGAAGACCTGAATGTGGTGAAGACCTGCATGAACATCCAGGCAAAGTGAACTCTAGACATGAGGGAAAACATAGGACATTCTTTAAGGGACATCCTTGGGATTTTATTTCTTGTGGCTGGCTCAGCCCGCTCTGAGGGTGGGGCTGGTGCAGCATGTGGTGCTGAGGATTGAGCCTCAGTCTCCTGCGCCTGCCTAAGCAGGTGCTTCAGACTGCTGAGTTATCTCGTCAGCCCTGGATTTTTTTTTTTTTTTTTTTTTGCAGAACCGGGGATTGAACTCTGGCCCTTGCGCTTGTCAGGAAGCGCTTATTCTGCTGAGCCATCTCCCCGGCCCCTGAATTTTGTTTAATAAAACTCTAGTCTGTATGGCTGGAACATAGTGGGCATAGGTGAGAATAGAGGATTAAGTTGATGAGGCAGCTGGGGCCAACATTGTGTAGATTAGGGAAACAACCTGGAAAGACAAGGAAACTGTTTCTCTGAGGCCAAGGAGGAAAGCAATGTTCAGAGGTAGAGAAAAGGGCTGCTAGCAGTCAACTTTCAAAGGGGTTGAAACTAGGAATCCTACATGGCTAGGCCAGTGGGAAGAAGCTGGTGGATGTGGTTCAGTCTGTGCTTATCCTCATCTGAAGTACCATCTTGTACTGGAGAAGCCAGAAAGCTAAAACTCCATGTCTTAAGATTTCCTTGATGCCAATACTGAATTTTCAAACTGGTGAGCAACTGAGATGTGGAAGAAAGAAGTGTTTGGGTGTTGTGTTTAGCTGTACTAGTTATTGCTCCTGCAAGGTATATAGAGCATAGGTTTCTCTTTAGTGGCATTTCAGTGCCCAGCAGATAGCCCTTCAGGTTTGTGAGTGCTGAATGGTGTCTTGATCCATAGAAAGCTGCTTGTGATATGTGCTCCTGCGGTCAGTGTGGGTGGCCTTCTGATTCCTGCTTGCCCTGTTAGTGGTAGAGGTGGCAGCTCTCTTGGTAGCCAGTTCAAGGAATCTTCTAAAAGCCTGGGCTGTAGCACTTGTCATCAGGTTTCCCACCTGTTTTGTAAGCACCTAATTTGCCTACATTGACTCCTTTCCTACTTACAATTGGTGGAGTTTTTTTTAAATTTTATTCATTTATTTATGTGTGTGTGTGTGTGTGTGTGTGTGTGTGTGTGGCCAGCTCAGCCCACCAGGGGGCGGGGCTGGCTGGCATGTGCTGGGGGATTGAACCACAGTCCCTGTGCTCTGCCAAGCTTGTTCTAAGTAGGTGCTTTAGACCACTGAGCCATCTCACCAGCCCCTGGAGTTTTGTTTTCTGCAACTACTTTTGATTCCAAAAGTGGTTACTGACAAGTCCTTTTAGATTATTTACAACCAAGTCAGGCTTGAAAGAAATAAGGATCTTGTTGCCTTTAGAAAATGGTAAATTTATGGGGGCTGGTGAGATGGCTCAGTGGTCTAAAGCACCTACTTGGAACAAGCTTGGCAAAGCACAGGGACCGCAGTTCAATCCCCCAGCACCACATGCCAGCCAGCCCCGCCCCCTGGTGGGCTGAGCTGGCCACACACACACACACACACACACACACACACTAAATAAATAAATAAAAAAACAAAAAGAAAATGGTAAATTTAGGGCCGGCCAGATAGCTCAGCAGATTGAAGCACCTGCTTAGGCAGGCGCAGGGACTGGGGTTTGATTACCAGCATACCAGCCCTGCCCCTGGGGTACTCTGAGACAGCGATTGAGACTGGCATGGTGGGACATGCCTGTAATCCCAGCACTTGGGAGACTGAAAGCAGGAGGATCACTACGAGTCTGATCTACATAGTGAGGCCCTGTAGACTGATCTACATAGTGAGGCCCTGTCCTAAATACATAGAAAATGGTAAGCTGGGCAGCAGGGTTTGTGTCTGTAATCACCTAGCATGCAGCATCATGTGGGGCAGAGCCTCGCACGTCCAGCGGCTGTCATGGTAGACTGTCATGTAAGAAAAGAGGATTTAGGGGCTGGGGAGATGGGTCAGTAGAGTAAGTGCTTACCTGGCAAGCACAAGGGCCTGAAATGAGGTTGAAGATTAAAAAGTGAATATCCTTAGTTCGAGGTAAGTGGAAGAGATCTCAAAAGAATTTTATCTCATAACTACAAGATTGATACACATAAGAAAATTTACTATATCGTTTATGAAAAGAGTTAGGGTGTTGTTGGGAAAGTAGGACTCTGAAATAGAAAGTGGGGGTTTGGATCCAGAAAAGATTTCTGTAAATCCTAGTGCTCTAAACCCCCTTTACTCCACTTAGCCCTTCCCCTACCTGATGTAGCTCATTCTGCTACCTGAAGACCCTTGGGACGTTGCCTGCGGGTTGCCTTGAGGGAATTTGAGGTCAATTTCATGACCTCACTCCCACCATATCTGTAGCTGTGGACTCCATCCCACTGCTTCTGGAAGGCAGTTTCACCTGGGAAAAGGAGTGCAACATTTTGCAATTCTTGTCAACAGAAACTGGGGTAAGTAGAGACTGGGTTACAAAATAAAACAAAACAGAAAAGGTCTTGTTTTTTTTTTCTTTGCAGAACTGGGAAGTGAACTCAGACCCTTGTGCTTGCCAGGGAAGCGCTGATTCCACTGAGCCATCTCCTGGCCCCCAAGGTCATGTAGTTGCTGGCCTTGAACTCATGACAATCCTTCCCAAGTGCTGTAATTAAGGTGTGCCAACACGCCCAGCTAGGCTAGATTTTATGGGCTAGATTTTATTTTATTTTTTATTTTATTTTTTTTTATGGGCTAGATTTTAAAGGTGCTCTTTAGATCAGAAAGAGGAATATATATGAGTTTATTCATTTTAGTTTAATTTATCAATATGAGCATAAAGGAATTTGGTTTTTTTTTTTTTTTTTCAGAACCAGGGCTTGAACTCAGATCCTTGCGTTTGCCAGTTAAGCGCTTATCCTGCTGAGCCATCTCCCCGGCCCCTGTGTTGGGTTTGTTTTGTTTGTTCTGT